TTGGAGGTCTGGCCTTATCAGTAACGCAATTTGGAAATTTGCCAATAATTTGAAAAAATTCCAGAAAATTTAAAAACTGAATTTTATATGTGCGACATGTATATATCGGAAAGATAAAAACTACCACCTAATCTAAAGAAGGATAAAAATTTTGAGAAAATTATGAAAATTTTTTCCATCGAGTTCGACAAAACTTATGTTACTACCTAATACATTGAAGCCCGATTTCGAGTTTTCCATCTTTAGAACCCACGTTGAAGGAGGAGCCGCCCGGACCGCTTCTTTCTGGAACGTTTTTCTCGCTTCGGAATCAACTTTTTGCAACGGGACTTCGGTGATTACTTACTTTAAGGGGGCCCCGCTATACAACGTCAAAATCTCACCAATCTTAGTTTGTTTGGACAGTTTCTTAGATTTCAAAAAACAATGGCTAAGCTCTGCAATGTTGCACCTTGCAAAAACCCGACTCTTCAACCTTGTCTGAGCCCAATAATCAACTTTCACCGAGTTTGTATAGCCGCGCAGCAAACACAGTACTATTGTGCCGCAATATGCTCAAGTGCAGCGAAATTATGGATGGCAACCCGCTTCTTCGAACTTTGCAGACATTTCTATATTGGGCAAGGTTTTAGAAAGGAGGAGATAAGCCCCCGAGGGGAATGAGAGAAAAAGGATGTCATACAATGTAGCCCTTATGACGTAGAGCTCAAAATTTATGAGAAACATTCAACTGCTAGCCGGAACAAGTCCTGTTTAACCAGAAGAAAATTAATCCACGATTTCCAGCCAAGCTGCGTCATATTTACTCTAAGATTACTGAGATTACAGAGGTAATCTTTGTTTTCCCACCGGTTCTTATAGAAAAAATTCGGAAAACAAGGGAACCAGAGCAGAATAAACGTTGTGGGGACGAGAACAATATTAAGCCATTAACAGACGAGTGTGGGATTAGATGTGAAACTGTCGCCGCCATGGTTTGTTCCATTTTTTTTTCTTTGATAAGCAGAACGATACTACTTGCAAGATTAAAACAGCGGATTATGGGGTTTTGCAGATTAAAGAGGTGAGCTATGCGTTGGATAGAAAAACAAATTAATCAAGATGTGTCAGGCAAAATGTGTACAGTCAAGTAGGTTTTGTTGATGTGTGCAATCACACACATTGTCCATGTAGTTGGAATGGGGTCCAGAGAGTTTAAAGATAAGCACAAAATGTTATTACTCAAGCTTTTCAAAAAAAGCATTTGTGTCCAAACAAGAAGGGAGATTAAGAAGAAACGAGAGATGATACCTGGCCCCCTAAATCAATCCTGTCACAGAAGAATGTGCACTTACATATATTAAACATATATATCTACTCAATCTTGGGTGAGTATAATGCATTCAGAAAATTGTGACAATGGCGCGACCGCGCGCGAAACGCACGCACATCCGGTAGCCGAATTTTCTTGGTTTTTACCTCTACTCAAATGGTTTTTTCTGGGCAGTCACATATGACAGTATTTAGATATTGAAAATGACTGAACTGTAAGTTGAAGTGGTGCCTGTCTGTTTGAGTGTTTTCTGCTCCTGTGGACGCAAAGACCGCAGTCAAATCCATTGTCACGATTTTATAAGACCTATACTCAATCGTAGGTAAGTAGTTAAAGCACGTACACCGTGAAAGATTCGAGCAAATTGTTCCGGTGACTGGCATACACAGTGTGTCCCAAAGTAAGTACACAGTTTTTACACAATCGTTAATAACTCTCTTCCCGCAAAGTGTTTCGCATAGCTTCAAGTACTATTCAGTAAAGCAGGCTCCAACTTAGATATGTAGCATGGTGCGAATCACTCATCGATTAGCATTACTGTAGGATTACGGTAGGAACTTCCGGCAAACAGCGCTTGTAAAATAGGCCGTTAGTGAAAATGTCCCAAAAAAAGCTGGGAAGTTGTGTAGCAGTGATTTAAAACATGCTGAATGCAGAGACAACTTTTTATGACTTTTTTAGGCGTTTATTATGAATTTAGTCACATCTTTGAAAAACAGTGGAGAAACTTTTGCGGTTTTAAATGGTATTTCAGGAAAAAACCTTCCTTTTAAGTACGAATTTCATAACCAGAATGAGCAACTCAGTTTAGCCTAATGACAAAGTTTTCAGCTTATTGCGTAGCTATTTCGGTGCAAAATGTAGCCATTGATGGTTCAAATTCTCTTTGAAGTTCCTACCGTAATGCCACAGTAATAAAGCACATTGGACGATTCGCTGCATACTGCAAATCTAAGCTAGAGCCTGCTCTACCAACTGGTACTTACAGCTAAACAAAGGACTTTGTGGGAAGAGATTCATTAACAATTGAAAAGTTTGTACTTACTTTTGAGACCACCTGTAAATTGTCGACTGGATAGCTAAAGTGAAATGGATGAGAGGAAGTGGGAAAAGGAAGTGGCGAGACAGCAGGATGGGGCACGGGTTATTAGTTTCACATTCGAAAAACTTGTTCTGTGTAACAGATCTCACAAACTGTGAGTTCTCTGAGTCATAAGGACACCAGCGAAATGCTCCAGCACCACTCGATGATTCACTACTAGTACTAATGCAACTTTTTTCGTTGCGAACATCTCGTATTACTGGTTTTCATAGGGAAAAAATTGACTATGCCAAAAATGGCGTTTCTACAACATACGAATCCTCCAGAGTATACCCGAAGGAAGCAGGAAAGTCTACACATTACCCTCACTTGAATTTTTATTTAAGATTTATTCATTATCAAACTTGAAGCAAAGCAACGAAAAAAATAAAGGAACTCGAGCATATTCAGCTATGTAGTCTAAAAACTCATGAAGATGTTACGACATAAAGGCCAAAATAGTCACAAATCAAACGCTGTAGACTAGTAAAATAGAGAACTGCCAGTTTTTCAAAATATTTTTTTCAAGACTAGTATTCCAAAAATCTAAAGGTGCTCTAGAAGCGTTCGCTGACCCGCCGCCGTTTCCCGCTTTCTGATATTTTTTGAGTCGGCATTACGATTCTTTATATACATGCTAGATTAGATAAATAGATAGGTTAAATAGTCAGAGTATCGAAATATCACGAAATAACATGGCCTAAAAAAATTCACAGAGTGCTGCAGATGGCATCAGACTTCAAGCAAAGATCCGTGCTCATGTTACCCCCTATTGGAGGTTTCAAGCTCCTGATGTTTGCCGCAGATAACAAGTTCTTCTGGGGAACAATAAAGGACCAATCACAAATGAAACTTCAGCCTTGCAATAATGTGGAAAAAACAGATTTACAAAGATTTCAGTGATGTGAAAATAATAGATTCCAAAACGCTAAGACTTGTGCAGTCCCACTTTGCACAGATTTATACTTTTAGAAATTCAAAGCATCTGCGAATTTCTTATACATTTGCGAGCAATCGTGGCAAGAAAAGGTCCTCGAGAGCTTTAGCAGAAAGGAATAGAAAGTGTATGGAAAAGCCCAAGCGCGACGCATCTTTGCACAATCAAGTTATGCACTTTGGGGACCAGCACAGAGAAAGATTTATAGAATTACATTATACCGTAACCCAGCTCCTGTACAGTTTCACTAACTCAGTTCTAATTCAAGAGTTATTTCTTTATTTATACGAAATACATCATAAAAAACGATGTGCTACATTACAGTAAGCATGAATGAGATAATGTACTAAAGCTTGGATGTTTCCCTTAGATGTCGCATGAGCTTGCATCAAGAATTTTAAAAATGAGTCTTAAGAACATTGAATATTGTTTCAATGCCACAATTTTACGATTCAAGCGTTCTTCATATTGTCATTATCGCTGTAATATGTGGACAATAATTTTTGCTTAGAAAATCAGTTAAAGAGCGTGATTTTTCTCCGATAAATGATCTTTATACTTTTGTTGAGCCTAGTTGTAGTTTCAAAAAATTTGAGCAAATTTCCATTTCTCTTGAACCTGGAACGAAACAAAATTTTAGCTCAAACCGTTTCTCAGTTCCATGAAGAAGAAAGGAACAAAGTCTTAGCAGCCAAGCAATACAAATACGAGATAAAACCAATAGAGAGCGAAGCAGCAGCGGTTCATCAAACAGAGAATCGCCATGAAATGGGCGTGGCCAGACGAGCGCGCCAAGTTGGCGGCTCGGCTGCAGCTTAACAGCGCCACACACAGCGCATTACAGCTCCCCTATCAGCACAGCTGGTGCACATCCGCTTTTCGCTCGCTTTATCAGTTATCGATCGATTTAATGGGATCTACATACAGTCCTTTTTGAAAGTGCACATCTGGAACTGTTACATAAAAAGCTTTTACACTATAGCCCCAGCTAACTGGCTGAGCATATGCCAATTTATTCTGTGGAAAAAGCGTCGAAGCCAAGTTTCGCACTCGTATCGTATAAATATTCCAATGTACCTATTACAAAAATGTTCGATAGGGTCACTATTGACACCTTATGTTATGGGAATTAGTCACCACGAATCAGCAAGGAGGAATGATTGTTGATGATGATGGAAAAATACTCACATTCATGATCAATGATCCCGTGTCGTTGCGAGCGCATCTAGACGAAATTTGGTGAAAAAAAGATGCGATTGCTTTGAGAAAGCACTATAGTCCCTAAGCATAGCCTCACCCCGCTTTCTTTCCGTTCTCCTAAATTTGGCAACGAAAATTTGGAGCGCATAACTTTAAGTGTAAGTAACTCATTCCTGCTAGTATTCAACTAGCTATGGAATAATTGGGTCGTTGACACCATGCCATTTATGGAAAAATTAGATTATTCAACTTTGGAAAGACCGGAAAGCCTACCAGAAATTCGGAGTGTGCAAGCAACTAATGCAGCCACTTCATTTGAGGAGATTCCTGCTACAAACGCACTCCGTCCTCCCAAAAGAAGAGTTTTTTGATGACATGGATTGGGCTGGCCGGGGTTGCCTGTGCGGTCGACTGCGGCCAGAAATGACGATCCAGGCTGCGTTGATCCATTCAACTTGGCATAGACACACCAAAAACTCTGGAGGGACTCTAGCTTTGTTGAACGACAACAATTTACCTGTAAAATGATATGAAGTTGACTGCAGTGGGCTAGGAAGTGATAGTGGAGACTGGCATGCTCCAGGATGTGATGTTCCAATATCCCGTTTCTTAGACGAAATTCCTCTACCAGCCACGCATTGAGGAGTTGCTGCGCTTTTTTGAAGTGTATCAAACAACCTCTTATAAAGCGCCCGAGGCCTAGAAAGGTTTTTTTTCATTTAGGGCTTTGCGAAGGAGGTTAGGCAGCTTACACACTAGAGGGGCTATTAGCCATTATTTATAGTTTGTGTGCCTTCTTCCTCCATATCGCTAGCACCGATAGTGATTTAGCGTGGCTGCGGGATGTAAAGTCGACAGCTGGACCTGGACTATGCGATATTTGCGGCTATCTTTACCTTACGAGAATTTCTGAGACTGGTTAAACAGCTGAAGAAAGTGCAGGCATACTAATAGGTAAATTGATTACAGAAGCAAAATATGTATAATTCATTCTAAGACTAGGAGACGCGAGACCGCATTGCATACATTGTCTAAACAAGTCTAATCGTGTACTTAGCAGGTTTATACTTGTTATTTACCTCGTCCAGGTTCAATCACTCTTAGAAGTGAAGAAATCTACTCTAACAAACTCTAACTTGTTAAGACAATGTCCGCAATGCGGTCTCGCGTCTTCTAGCCATAGAATAGATGTTAAACCATTGACGACGACGCCTAATTTGCGTGGCGGCGCTGTGGGACGACGCGATTTTGCACAACATCTTTGTCGTGTAAAAATTTTGTGATTATTTACGAAATGTGAAGTTGTTTTTTGAAAAACTATAATCATCTTCTTGGACCACGAAGTCTACAGGTTCCAAGAGTGCAAAAAATTAGGAAAAATACTGAACTGTGGAAAAAAATACTAGACCTGGAAATGATATGATTTTGCAATGGCATGTGGGCCACCGGTGGTCCACATCGTCCCTGGCGGCAAAAAGTGCGTGGGTCACCGGTGGTCCACATCGTCGTCAATGGGTTAACTAACATGATTTATACGCGGGTAGTACAACGGCTGGTTTAACCTTCCACGAATACTTTGACCACCTCCTTAGTGGTCTTCTTCAGGGGCAAGAATTCAGCCTGATGTTCTTAGTTTTCATCATTTTCAAAAATTTCAACGTTCAAATTCCGTTCGAAAAATTTTTGGAGTAAGTAAATTTAAATACTTTATAGAGAGTTCATAAGCTCGAATAATCGATCAAACATGGAATCATAGGCCCGCAAAAAATTTTGAAAACCATAGAAGAATTTTTTTTTTCGTAAGCGCCGCGCCCTCCCACTCAAGAACTTATCGCGCCCCGTCTCAAAGAAAAAGCTTTTTTTCTGACCGCCACTGGTTTAAACATCGACTAAGATATTGGTCCTTTCTAAGATGCTTTCTACAACTGCGCTATTATTTTTGAATTTGCACTCGCAATTGCAAATGCAAAAAGTACCACACCCTTTCTAACATTTTGTGCAATCTTCTTTTTGATTTATTGTTTTTTAAGCCATAATACGACTCTACCACTGAGCGGCGCTACTGCACATTGTACATGCGACGCACACAAGGTAGCTGCTGGAATGATGACAATCATAGCTATAAGCGTTTCATAAACGTTACTTAGACAGATAGTTGCAGCCGAAATGTGTATGATTCGATTGCCAAGTTTGCGACTTGCCAGAAACCAATTTAGTATCGACCTAAACGACGATTCGCTTCGTTGACGGCAAGTGATCCGTGAAAGCGACAACATTTTAAGTGAACATACCAAACATTCAGAAGCGTCCAAGCGTCTATCAGAGCTTTGAAATAGCAGGTCAATTTTGCAGCTTACCATGCATTCGCATTTGAACCTTTCGCAGATGCTATTATGCTGCCTTGTTACAGCGAGTAGAAGCTATTGCACATTTTGAGAGAATTTCTAGGATACATTTTTTTCAGAATTCTTGACTCCCCAGAAAGTTTTTGCTATTTTTGGAAAAGTGTGAGCAAGTACACGTCGTACACTTGCCACTTGATTTGCTTGTACCCCATCGCCAACGTCGCGAAAAATGCGCAGTTGCGCATCTAAGCAAGAAAACCTCAACTGCGTATGTAGTGTCACAATAAATGGTGTAGAAATGTAAGCAGTATAAAAACTATAAATAAAACTTCTTGACTTACATATACAGGGTGTCCCAAAAATGTATCGAACGTTCGATCGTTAATATCTCTCTTCCCAAGAAGTCTTTTGCCCTGTTTCAGGCACCGTTTTGTAGAGCTGGCTTCAACTTAGATTTGCATTATAAAACGGATCACCCATCTCTCTTTAGTACTGTAGGATTACGGTAGAAATTTGAAACATATGGTGTCAATGTGGGAAAAACTGCCGTTCAAAATTTTTCAAAAAAATGTGAAAACTTGTGTATTGGGGTTTTTATGGACGCTGAGTTCAATACTCAACTACTCACAAGATTACGAGGCTTTCTAAACGGTGTAACCGCACTTTTTAGGAACATTGAAAAAATGGCCGCTACCTCTTACCTGGCATAACTCTTCAATGAAGCAGCATAATAAATTGGGAACTTTACATTTATAATCAGCAACTCTAGTTAGCCTAGTGTAGAAATTTTCAGGCTGTTTTGTTTCCTTTCTGGGGCAAAATATGGCTTTTCTTTGCTTAAAACCTTCTTTGAAGTTTCTACCGTAATCCTACAGTAATGAAGAGAAATGAGTGATTCTTTCTATAATGCAAATCTAAGATGAAGCCCGCTCTACAGATTGGTACCCGATGCAAGGGAAAAGACTTCTTCAGAAGAGAGATATTAACGATCAAACGTTCGATATATTTTTTGGGACACCCTGTATATTACGAACGATAGAGTATGATTACTAAAAAATATAGAAAATGCGAAAAGTAGGTCCCGGTCACCAACCAGATATTAGATTGAGCCGAAAGTCTGCCCCATTGTTTCCAAAAAAAGGAACTTCATTCGAAAGAAGGAACTTGCACGAATATACGTAATCTTGTTAGAAAGTAACTCATGTACTCCTTGGATACTCTCAACTAACCTTTAGCCGCAGTATTTAAACTGAAAAAGGGACATTACTCGAATTTCATTGATTTCAAGCAGACCGTTCAGAAATCGAGATACGTATAGGCTGCTGCATGACGAAGGCGCTATATCTTCGGGCGCGACCGCAGCTTTATTAGCCGCAAAGCGCACGAAGCGCAGCATTTACAACGATGAAGATAGGTACGCGCACCCCGCGTCCCGCCGCTCAACTAATACTGCTTCTGCGCCTTCGTCATGCAGCAGCGTTTAGCACAAAATCCAAAACAATCAACGGCCTGAGTTTTCCGATTTCCTCTTTTTGAGTTTTGTGCTGACCGAGCTCTCTTTTTTATGATTTGAGAAAAAATGGCAAAAATCAATCTCTGAGGAAAATTGATTTTTTGGCATTTTTGTCTCGAGAATCATACTTAAAGAAAAGCTCAATCACTACATTTCGCTCAGCTAGAAAGAGGAGGTCAAAAATATCATAACAATGACTGTTACGGATTTTATTGCACAGTTTTGGGATTTTTAGCGGGCTTGCCTCCAATCGCCAGTCCTCAGTAGATCTCGTTTTTAATTTTATCTATCAATCAGAGCTGTCTAGAGTGTAAGGTCTTCTAAAAAGGACATGATTTACTTTTTCCAACAAAATTAATCAAGCAGAATTATTATGACAGGAAGACTACATGTTACTACTTTTTGGAAACGTTGCGACAATTTCGGTTCAACCTACTATGTGTAGTGCAGGTCCATAGTTTATTGTTTTCCCGGAGTTCCCAACCCATCCATAAGAAGATTTTTGCCGATTTTTCCCTATGTAAAAATCGCAGATACCGTGGCTGTAACAAGATCTTGGAGACATACAAGACTTATATTTGGCTTTTATTTGCTAGCACACAATAAAAAGGCGATCTACCACCCGATGATTATAACAAGCACTGGAGTAAAAACAATGTGAATAGTGCAGCTCTTGTGAGATTCCTATGTGAAAACAAGGAGCAGGTAGAGAAATAAACAGTCAAATTGAGTTGTAGGAGAAGTGAGGTAGTGTTTGGCAGAGATTTGTATAGATATTGAAGTGGATTGAAGCAAGTGCAGTCTGAACAGTGCAATGAAAGCTATTTTCTTTTTCTGTTCGTTTTGTTCATTCCTCTTCGCCCACCGGGTGGTTGGGGAAGTGAGAATGTGATACTTAGGCGGTCCAGAACATTCGCCAGCGCTTTCTTAGGAATTCCGCAAACAGCTGAGTCAGCTCGAGACATGCGCAAATGCAACTCGTCCTATAAAAGAGATTCAGAGTTTACAAAATTCCGCAGTCGCGCAAAAACTTACGATTAGTACTGGTTGCAGAGACAGCATGTGATTGTATAGATGATCGTTTTCAGGCCGACGTAACCATGCCAAGAATATTTGAGTCATACCCTCGAGATCCTGAAATAAATCTCAAGGGCCAGTCCAGAATTTCAAGCCAGGCAAAATGGCTACCTTCGGCAAAATTCCCGTATCATCGATCATGCTTTCTTCTGGTGGTTCATCGCGAGGTTCATTCAAGGTTTTATCACCAAGATCCATAAAATCCTCTAAAAAAAGCGGTGTAGTAAGGATTGAGAGATGACTTCATTTAAGAAAAGATTTACAAAACGATTTTGGTCAGCACATCCTACCGAAGCAAAGGCGGCTGGAGATGTCCCACCGCTCAATTTATAAAAAATTTTGACGGCTTTTTTTAAATATAAAAGTACGCAAGGAAACACCTATAAATGATTCTGATACCTTTAATTCCAAAAAAAAATCTCAACTCATAAATATTTGGTTTAGTTTTGTAGAAATGGGGCTGGATGCCATCACTAACGCTTTCGAAATTACGTGGCCGTAAGCTCGCCAGAAATCGGAAAGCATCCAAGAATTTTCAAAGGAGTGTACAAAGCCGCGCTCCTTCATATGAAAAGAAAAAACTCTGCCACCCTCCATCCTTTAGAAAACCTCAAACGGCGAACAAAACAGCGAAGATAAAACAGAGATAACTCACCGTCTAATGGATCTTCTTCCTGTGGCGCATTACTTGTGGAAGACGTTGGCATACTTACTGCCGCAGCATCTTCAGATATGCTAGTCAAAGCCTTACCCCTAGCTCTGGCCTTTTTTACACCTTTCTGAGGAGAAGCTGAAGCCGTTTTCTCCACGGATAAAGGCCGAGCTGTTGGAGTGCAAGGGTCGATCACTGAAACTGTCTCAGATGAAAAAGAAACTAATCGACAACACCCAAATCATACCTGGATGCACTTCATCATAAATGCGCCTAAGCATATTGACTGCACGTTTCCTACCCATAGGCTTCAAGCCAAATTTGGACAACTCGCGCTAAAAGAACAGAGATTTTATCAAACCTAAGTCACTGAAATGAACATTCCTTACCTTCAGCTCTTCATCAGTCATGCCTTCATAACACGGCATAGGCGTAATACCCGATGTTTTTAGCACCTTCACATTCGAACCAAACCTAGAATGAATGCTTATCGTGTGAAGTAATGACTCTGAGCAAACCTACCTCGCTTTTTTCTTAGTTGGCTCAGCAGGTGTTGAATGAGCCACCGGTGGGACAATCGGGGCATCTCTATTTACGGTGAAAGAATTTTCATTCTAAAGAAAAGAACCAGGATAATTGAGGCGAGTTACGACCATGGACTTACCGTTTCTTGACCTTCCATACTTTGTAACGGAGTTACCGGACGTGGAGCGCCAAACGAAGATTCTTTTACCGAAATCTAAGAAATACAAATCTACCTTATAAGTACTGTCATCACAATTTTTGCACACAGATTGATTTCACACGAAGAGCTTGGTTTAGTTGACGCAAAATCCACATGAGACCATTTGCCACATATTACGAAACCTCTCAGATACATACTTGATCACTTGATCCGCTTTATCATTGGCCAATTCAGTGAACTAACCATAGTGAGTGATAAAGTGGATCAAACGGATCAAGCGGATCAGGTATGGCGCGTGCCTCAGGCGGCCAGACTCTGCTCAATAGGGCGCAAAAGCGCCCGAAAGCGCCTAAAAGGCCCAAATTTCTCTAATCTCTCTTCACTTTCTCGTTTGAGGAAAGATGAAAGTGAATGGAGGTTATAGAAGTTTGGGCGCTTCTGAGCGCTTCCCGGAGCCTGGCCAGTGCCTCACGTGTCAGCTAGAACACCCCCTAATTTGTATTCCCCATATAACCTGCGCAAAGCGCTCACAGCTTGGAAATTTCTGCCTACATGTTGTCGCAGATATGCATTTCTAGTGCTTGAAACCTCTTTGAACTCTCCCCAATACATCGCATATTGTTACCCTGTACAAAACTACGAAAAAGGGTGAGTAACGAGTAAAAAAATAATAGGAGCTCACTTTTCTGCCTCGTCTAGCTGAAGCCTTCTCCATATGCGAAGGAAGTGGGTTCTCAGCGGGTTCCTCGACTGACTGTGATACTGCAATCATATTCATACCGCATAATTCGAAGTGAGACTTCTATAAACTCACAAGAAAGCTGGCTCATCTCAACTGGCTCGTACCACGCGTCCTCTAAACACGGGTCCTGATAGTTGAAGTATTCATCCTCGTAAGCGCCGTGTCCATGGTTTAGGTCATCAGAAGCACTCGCCCTCTTCCCTTCACTTGCGGTTATAGCGTTCACTGACGATATTTCAAGTACTTCGCCATCACAAACTGGGGTGCAGCTGTGCTCAGCTAGTTTAGACTTTGCTGAGGAGAAACTGTAAACGGGTAGACATATGAAAGAGTGAGATAGTTTACCTTGAAAACTTAACTCAGTTGTTGGTCGCCCGACGTAGCTAATGAACAGCGTCGAGATTTACTGATGGTAGTGCGAAGAGGAGTGTAGTTCCAAGAGAAATCTTCCACAACTACAAAAAAGTGATAGCAAGCTTTGAGGAAACAAGAAAATTACTCACCATCTTCTGCAGCTTTGCTCCTTTCATCAAATAAATCAGGACTTTTGTTAGTACGTGAAGGCACCGAGGAGTTGTTGAAATCTTCTGGCATATCGAATAACGTTATTTGCATTGCTTCAACATCACTCCGATGAGATGAATCGGTGCAGTTCTACAAAATAAGATATGAGGATACAAATTCTTGCAAACAAATTAGTTGATTTTTGAAAATGAATGAAGCGGTTGTTCATCTATTAACCACATGGAGAATGCAAGAATGTAGATAGATGTGATAGGGCAAGTTTTCAGTTGTGAGCTATGGGGGCATTGGAATGACGAAGAAATTCAAATTCCAAGGAAAAAACAATTTCGCATTACAACTTACCCCTTCTTTCGGTCTTGACGTAGTGCTCTCTTCTTGCATGTCTTCCGCAATATTGTCCTCAGCGCCCTGAATCCCTTTGCTTCCCGAAACATCGCTGTCCTCTAGATTGAGATGAACTTGCACAAACGCACACAACTTTCTTCAACAACTCTGACCTATGGTAATGCACTCCACGTCGGCAGAGGAATTGACGCTGCTGTCGGCTAAATTAATACCCTGTAGCGGATCTTCAGTATCTATAGAATTATCCTCCTAAATGAGAGTATAATAGTACTATAATAGTTTTGATCTAAGAGATGTGACAACTAACTTTTTCTCTACTTGTTCCAGGTTCTTCGAGGTTGACCCTCAGAGCTTCTGGGACCACCACATCAGATTCAGGACTAGGAGTTACCACCACATCAGATTCAGGACTAGGAGTTGATGACACAGTATGAGAGACAGACTGAAACTTTTCGTAAATGAAAAAAGCACTATTCAGTAATCTTGTAGGATATTTTCGTACAGTCATACCTCATGAGATCCTGCTTCAACCTTAGCGGCCGGACCAAGCGACGAAGTGGGCTCGTTTGCAACAGATGCTTCGTTAGCTAACTCGTCAACGGACCCTGACGGCTTCATACGAGCGCAAAGTGGCACGAGATCATCTAAGAAAAAATGGACTGTCAACAAAAAGCATGACATGCACTAAAAAAGAATCAAACCCGGTCCGAACCGCTCCGCCAATCTTCGGATCTTATCCGTGTCTTCGCTCAGCCATTCAATCTTGCCAGAATAAGCGTATTGCAACCAGCAAGCAACAATCTAAATGGAATTTGATATGATGTAGCATCAAATCTACAACATAATAAGTTAAAAGTGCGATATCAAAGCTAGAGGTTATTTTCTGCCTATCGTTGTTCTACAACCAAGATAGGAAGTATGACTTCAGATGGAAAATCAGAAAGATTGCAAACCTTACGACTTTCTTTTATCTCAATACTTGGAGTACCAGCTTGAGAGTCGTTACCATTAAGCAAGGAAGTCCTAGCACGAAGCAAAGACCGATGTGCTTTCAAATTCCCTGCATAAAAGGCTGGTAAGAAGGTTGAATAAAAATCGAAAACTTACCGTCTTCGCAAAGAATTTCCACATCCGAAGCAATATCACTGCCAGCCAAAACACTCAAATCCTCAGATAATCGCTCTAGGCGCTCGAGCTATAATCAGCTTTCGACGATACACCCTCACTCCGTAAACGATCTTCACCTTTTCCAGTAAGCGTGCTTGACGTTGCATGAAGACGCTAGTCCGACTAGAGTTTTGTTTGCATATGTCTGAGTGGGACTCCTTTTCACCGTTAACTTTTCGAACCTTAAAGGCTTCAACAAATCGTTCATGGACCTTTTGTATAACCTGAAATAGTGCTCGTTATTATCGTCATTAGCAATTCCACAAGACAACATTTTATGCTATGAAGACTCACCTCACATTTGCATGATCGGGGAGCTAGTTCGACAATGGCGTACGATCGCGGTCTTTTTCGTCTTTTCTCATTGGGATCAGGTATTCTAGAAAATTTAATAATAAAACCAGAGAGATATCTGACTGCATTACGGGAATACTGAGATAGAAGAATGTGAAGATAACAGCAGCACCTCACTCCAAAAGTGCAGAATTGTATCTTCTTTCTATATGAAAGGTAATCTAATCGAAGTGATATATGTAGTGCACATTTGTGGAGGTGATTAGGAAATTGACTATAAAATTCCCCCTTACCGCCCAAACGTATGAAATCCCTGAGGATAGAAGGAGCAACAGCAGCAGCAAACTTCCTACATCTTTCAAGAGCGCAAGTATGGAATGCGCGCTTGTGCCACGCAACAAACGAAATGATGGAAAAGTCCAGACAACTATGAATTGAGATTCTAGATCTAGTTTGATGGAGACATAAAAGCGATGGGATAATTTTGAAGAAGAATGACTGAAGCGCTGCTTAAAAAATGATACACTCCAAAACTCCTGTAAAATGGTTGTTAAAGTGTGGAACAAAACAATAACCTGGTAAACTCTTGAGTAGGCTGTGCTTCCACGTGGGGCGCATCTTCACTTATACTTGCGGAAAGCGCTTTAGCCAGTTGGACACTCTCATCAAAAACTGAATTAGGTGCACCTTGGAGTTTTAATGGAATAACCTCCTTCTTCACAGGAACGGGTGCTCTGTAATCATCATAAATAACCAATCCGTTAAGTAATTCAACAGAGAATTACTTTGTGTGGATTATACTTGATCTCTTTTTGACTTCAGTGACCCGACTTTGCGTTTCCATCAGTCTCAACAGCTCTTTTGGTGCAATCTTGTGTATTTTGCCACAGCGCTTGGCATGAGCTGCTCGATGCTACAGACACAGCATTAAGAGGTGAATCTCCAAAAAACTGCATACTCACTGGACCAGGTGGCTGCGGCTCTCCACACAATGGACAATCAATGGTATTACTCCATTTTTCAGTAGCCTTAGCGTGGTTGGAGTTTGACTCTTGAGCATCCAGACATTTGTTTACGTGTGCAATCCTGCAGATAGTAGGCATAAGCTGACTGAGGGAAATAAGGCCCACCCCAGCGATTTTGTGAAGGCGAAACGTAATCAAGATAAAGTGGTGCATACATCCAGCTTACTTTCTGAGGTCATTCAGATGTGCGAGATTCTTCGAGCAAATAGTACAAGCATCTGCAGTCGTCGAAGGCCCCGGCTCTAAATGAAAATTATAATTATGCGATAACTACTTATTTCAAATCCAGAGCTATGTCTCGTCTTACGAACTCCGACTGATCGTTCCATGTGATCACGAAGAGAAAAAAGAGGGAATATATGAGCAGATAGCCCTTTAGTCCTTCTAATCTGCACCGATCGGACTGGATGATATGATAGAGAGAAAAACAGCGCCTCATAGAATATTCTCTGCTCTCTTGAAAACTGCTTCACTAAAAATTCATGCTGAGATCTTAGCATGTTTTTGCAGGATCTGACTCGCAAGATGCATTTCAATCACATCTGTATGAAGAAAATATCTCAAAAGACGAACCAGCGTAGAGTAAGATTGATAACAAAAGGAAGTGAGAATCAACATCAGCGTAAGTAGTACGCTGACACAGGCTATGAGAACATTTCATGGGAACGAACTAACCATGAAAGGAAGTTACGTCAAAGCTGGTTAATATCAATAGGCTTGGCTATGATCAACCAAGCATTGGGGTGAATTTCTCTTCTACACTGATAAATTTTCGGTAGTAGTTTCACTAAGGTCTCTTTTACAGCGGAGCAATGGGCCTTACAATGTTACAAACCTCGAATAAGGATATGGATGCCAGAAATAATTTGCACAAGTACATAACTAGCTGCAAGAATTTAAAATAGAAAACATGAGGAAAGGAAACGTAAATTCGGTTCGGAACCCCCTGCCACCTTGCTAGAAGCACAAAGAACAAACAGCACAGATCCACAGAAAAGAGCAGAGAATGAATAGAACCATGCAGTGGGAAAGACGAATAAACCATTACCAATAGCAGACAATTTGAGATTATGGTAAATCAAACAAAATGACTAAAATTCTTGGCCGGCAAAGCAAAACTCAAAGATAGTATATCCACCCACCCTTGATGTCAAATGAAGAAGCGGAGGATGATACTGGTAGAACTGGAATTGACTGGACACTTCCCTTCTTTTCAGGACGTCTCAATAAACAGTTAATATAGAAAAGACTGCATAAGATGTAAACTCTCAGATGGTTACCTGGGAGCTGCTGGGAACGGAATCGTTGGCCTAGGCGAGCGGAAATCGTCATCCGACTCTCTGTTCATACTCCATACAAACTTATTTTTGAATTTCAATTGAATAGAGCAGGTTGTGAAAGATAAAACGAGAGGCACGGACACGGCATTGACGCCCGCGATTAAAGCAGGATTAGCAATCAGCGCGATTGGAGCACGCTTGCTAATCGGATGTGATGCGCTCGCTGATTCAGTGCGCGCCGCCTGCGCGCAGATTTGTCTGAGAAAATGAGCCTCGCCATTATGACTTTTTTGCTCTCAAGGTGAGAGATCGTCTAAGTATTGAGGTGTCTAAAAAATAAACCCCTTTTTCTAAATAAAACAAGCTTGTCTTCTTAGCAGACTTAGAGTACTAATCGATAGGTGAAATAAGCTCTACAAAATGACCATCAAAGATCTATACCTAAGGCACGCATTATAGATACTTGATCCGCTCGATCCACTTTGCTGTTGGTCAAATCAGTGAACTGACCAATAGGTGGATGAAGTAGATAAAGTGAATCAAGTGGACAACTGCTTCGCTATTGAGCAGTTCACTGATTTGACCAACGAAGAGGATCAAGTGGATCAAGTGGATTAAACGGATCAAGTATGGCGCGTGCTTAAGCCGTAATCCAGGCGAAGCTCTTCAACTACCACAAGAAATCGGATCTCCCTCTGGAAAACTCCTATGCATCTACAAGTTCGTCGTCATATAGTATACCAACCATTCCAATGGCAAATGACTTGATTATACTTGTAAGCAAATAAAATAATTTTTCAAATTTTTTGAAAATTCAAATTAGCCTTGTAAAAGTTTCTTCCTGGAGCGTGGCTGCCGCCACGCCCCCTTTCTAGATTTTCGGGGCTATGGGCCTGCAAAAATTCCGAGAATCACCCCAAAAAATTTTTCGGAGTGCGTGCACACATGGCACGCACCTTCATTCAAAAAAAGTTTCTGTCGCCCCCACCCCCAGTCGGAAATCCTGGGACCGCCACTGCAACATCTGTATATATAGTTGACTCATTGACCGCACGGATTGGACATCACTGCGGAGCACGCGACGAGAGGTAGAACGCTTGCTCCGGTGCAAATTCGCCATTGTATGCTCGGCTTCCACATTCGTGTGGAGGTGTATTGCAGACTTTGCCTGATAACACGGATAAATTTATTAAACCTCCACGTTATAGCATTGCTTTTCGTACTCTCTCGCTAGCAAAAGCCGCCACGTGTGAGTCGGCAAGACTCTACAGGCCCCGTAAAACCCAATTGCCCACGCGTCGCTTTGAACACCAACGCGCGGCGCGGCTGGAAACGTTTGGTCCCGAAGCGCTACAGGGTTTTTTCGAGCGACAATGAGCGCGCGTCCTTTCCACACATATTTTTTTAAACTTTTGAGGGGGGCTTTTGTCGAGATATACCTTGCATTGACGATAACAACATGAAAGTTAAAGAAAGATTTCTTTGAATATAGTGAACGCCGACAGTCGTTCGCGACGACCGCTCGCTTACGCTGGTGTTCAAGGCACGGCGCGGACAATTAGGTTTTACGGCGCCTATACCTCCACACGAATTTGGAAACCGATGATACAAGTCTCTCGCGAATTCAGCCGCGCGGCGCGTGGTCCGCAGCGTTTGAGCGGTCCGTGCGGCCAACGAATCGACAATAGCTGTATGCTGCAAGATTATACTTCTGTAGGTGCCCTGGTAATCTAGAAATAACAAATTCATAAACCCAAAAGAGTGACATTTTAGCATCTACAGGATGTTTCTTAGATTTTTTCACGCGACTAGCAAATTTCAAGATGCCTCTAAATCAAAAGCTTTGAGACTATAAATGCACAATCTGTATAATCTTCGTAGATCGACATCTTGCATTATTTTCTTTGGACTAGCTGCCCAATAGCTAGCAGGTGTGAGAAATTGTATTGAGTCACTAAAGCCTCGTATAACACTTTTTCAATGCCGTAAAAGCTAATAAACTTCATCTAATAATGTTTTGATTGAAAAGTTCTGTCGGGTCCATCGCAGCTGCCCCTCCTCTTGGTGCGGGTTGTAAAAGAAAATCGAAATCTCGGTTCTTGGTTCTCGGATCTCGGTTCTCGGGTCTCGGTTCTCGGATTAAATTATTTTATTAGTTATAAATCTAGATTTAGGAAATTTTTAGATCGACGTTTGGGATTGTTCGCAGGACTTTTTTTTCCAAATATTAGGTGATCATTTGTACATATTTTATTTTTCTGAAAAGATTAGATGTTCTTTTTGATAAAACAGTGTCGATGTGTGTAAAAGAAAATACTCACTAATTCGTTCGTTTGTGTCCGTCGACGGTTCGTTAGAGACGAAGAGGGAAGGGGGGAATAAATTTGCCCAGGAGAAAATTAATTCTCTTTTTGAAAATAGTTTTTAGAATTCTAAAAATTAGAGGGGTAAAAGGAAGAGAAAAAAAAGAAAGAAAGTTTTTTTTCAAGCTAAAAAAAACAGGGGGGGGGGGGAATAAGTTCAAATCTCCCCGGGTCCTCCATGTCAGGTTAAAGGCTGGCCTTGCCTTTACCTGATGTGTAGCGGTAAGTACATAAGTCTTATTCACTAATATTTATTATTTAGGATAAATATAGGGAAAGTGGGGAAAAGAGGAAAAGGCTGCAGGGGCAACCTGCTGGTAGCGGTCGTCGGGGGTCACTGTCCTCCAGCGGGCTTTACAACCCGCACCAAGAGGAGGGACAGCTGTGATGGACCGTTCTGCTGGGAAGGCATGGTGCGCATGGTAGTTCTAATGACGAAAGTACGACTGCTTGCAGAAGAACGTTTGGAGTCAAGAAAGATGTCGCGTTTAGTAAAGCTCATTCTCCAAAACCGAAATGCACACCTTACAGCTCACGCTTTTTCTCTAGACTCTCTCGTATAGCATCATTCACGTAGCTCTTTTTTCTGTGGTTTCTCTTAGCTGATATATTGTACGTTCTTTTCGGTGTAAAATTTTCTCAAAGCGTTAGCAGCTTTTTTCGTCAAAGCATTAGAGGAGGGTGAGGACGATTCGCGTCCGTTCTGCTTTCCACAGAGGACCACTGCCGCGCGCGGAACACCCTGGGGCGGCTTTTGCCTAAGCAAAGCAGGCGGAAGAAAGATTTGCGGCGTGCTGACGTGTTAAGACAAGTCAAAATTAAGATAGCGCTGGAGACCGCCCATGAAGACTGTCTTCCACAAGAGCTTAATTTCCTCATCACTCTAGCCTTAAAATATCAGTTCTCCTTTCCCTATTTCTTAGACAAAATGCACTAAGTTTTTCCCTCTAAAACTCCACAGTGAAGTTGTCCACTCTTTCTTCGTTATTCAAGGAACTGTCCCGTCTGCAAAACCCCCTTTTTTTCAAAAGCTTACTGAAGAAAGTCACAGTGTCCTCCTCCCCCTTCAATGTACTTCTAATCAGTATGCTCACAGCGTCCCCCTCATCTTTCCCCCTCATCTTTCCCCCTCTGCCAAAACCGCAGGGCCCGGCGTACGTTGGTTCCAAGGATTCTGGAAGACTAAGCCCGCCGCAGAATGCAGAAAGAGGTATTCGTGATTAGCACCTCAGAAAATCCCCTAGACCAATTTCAGCCAAAACAGAACTGACTCTTCTACTTATACCCACCGTTGCCCCACCAAGTGGCGTTTTTGTGAAAAAAAAGAATGTAACATTTGTGATCCCCATCGACCAAATCTCAGCCAAACTCACAACTTTGAAATTTTGGGCCGCGGACACAAGGATAGCACCGTTCGATCTTCCCCGCAAGTACTCAGGTAATCGCCGGGGCAGGCGGTCCGCAAACTCGCGTTTTCTTGCAGGCGGTCAGCAGAATTTTTGGGGCGTGGCCAAACCTTCAGCGGGCGGCACCTCCTTTACTGTCGAATGTCTTGGTAGCGGGGCAGAATACAGAGTTTTCTGCGGGCGCTCCTCAATTAGTCTATTTCAGTGAGTGCTGGCCAAACTTTCAGCAGGCGCTTGGTCTCTTTTTAAGCAGTTTTGGGCGTACGTCGAGCAAATGTGAGACTCTATGCTGCAGAGGTGTCATAGATAGTTTAATTACTTAAGTTTGAGGTACTCTTAGCGGAAAGTACCTGAGGGCTGTGCGATTCTCCACAAAGGACCGCGCGGCCCTCAATAATTTTGCATATTCGCGGAAAGTCCGCGAGAATGCGGTCAGTGCGCCGCAACTAAACTGTGGGAAAACCGCGATAGTTTTCCGAGCATTCATCTGAGAAGTGGTCAACATTCCTCCAAATTTCTTCAAGCAGGCCGCAAGAAATCAGCATTTTCCGGTGCCCGCTTGCTCAAAATTCGCATTGCCGCCTGCCCCCCGCGATTATCTGAGTGGTTATCAGAACCACGAAAGATATCGTTCAAGAAGCAGCAGCGCTTTTAACCGATACGTTAACTTTGAGCGCTCATAACTTACGAACCAGTGAAGATGGGTCGGAGAGAATGGTACCAATAAAAAGAAGACAACAAGCTCTTAAGCGAAAATGGTTTTACATTTTTATATTTCGTTCATTTTGGGAGCGAAATATATCCCTAAAGTGGAGGTACCTTTGAATTTTGAGACACAGGTTCTTTTTATATATAATAGGATCTGTGGAGAAATCAGCTGTTCTTTGGAGCCAGCGTTAGTGGCAAAAAGGGATTTCTAAGTGGGGAATCGCACCCGAACCCAGTAGCTGAGAGTCGCACCCCTTAGCCACTAGACCATGGCGACTACATTGCATCTGCAGTTTATGCGCGTCAATCGCCTTTTTTTTCATCAAACACGAGAGGGAATGGGGTACGGTATTCGGGCTCACGCAACGAAAGGCCGGTGCAAAAAGTGCTAATCAATACGTTGCTATTTTTCTGTTATAGAATGATCTGTGGAGAAATTAGCTGTTTTTTGGAGCCAGCGTTAGTGGCAAAAGGAATTCCTGAGTGGGGAATCGAACCCGAGTCTGGCAGCTGAGAGTCGCACCCCTTAGCCACTAGACCATGGAGACTACATTGCATCTGCAGTTTATGCGCGTCAATCGCCTTTTTTTTCATCAAACACAAGAGGGAATGGGGTACGGTATTCGGGCTCACGCAACGAATTTAAAGGCCGGTGCAAAAAGTGCTAATCAATACGTTGCTATTTTTCTGTTA